GCGGCGGCGGCGGCGAAGCTGAGGAGTAAGGAGGTGATGGAGGCGGAAGCCAAGGTTCTGGTAGGGACGTACGCGAGAGCTCCGATTGTGCTCTCCAGTGGCAAGGGCTGTAAACTGTATGATATCGAGGGGCAAGAGTATTTGGACATGACCTCTGGGATTGCAGTGAATGCGCTCGGCCATGGCGATCCTGATTGGGTCAGAGCTGTTACAGACCAAGCCAATGTGCTCACCCATGTCAGCAATGTCTACTATTCTATTCCACAGGTGATCAAATTTTATTTCTTGATTTGGGTTTTTTTTTTTTTTTTTTTAATGCTATTCACCCCCAAATATTCTACTAAATTTTCTATATATGTTTGTGTTGGCGATTTTGAGCGAAGTTTAAGATTTTAAAGTGATCTGTAGAAGGAAAGGAACTGATTGAGGACATACATTCACTCACTCACTCACTATCCAGTTGTAAAATTAATGAAATTGGATTCCACACAAGATGAAGTTCCATTGACCCAATTACTCAAAATTTTACTAAAATATTAGTAGAAGTTTCATTTCATATATGAACCACTCCAATGGACAAACTCAAATTTAAACATAAATTTGAGTCACAAATTGCTTAGAAACTTTTGAGTAAACATTTGAGTCTCCCTTGATTTATGTAAAGCTTTTAGTAGAACTCACTTTGATATAGTTTGGTTTGAGGAGTGGAGGAGGGTGTTTTGAGTGATTTTTACCCAAATATTTAAATTTGAAATAGGTTTGATTCAAGGATTGGAGTTGCGCTAACAATCCTGGAAATGGTATGCCATGACCCACGTAAATAATGAGGGAAACTATCCCTAATAGTAAACATAGATTGAAGTCCATTTCATATGGAAGCTGTGGTACAATTGGTAAGAAGCGAAGAAACACCAAATGAAGATGCTTAACTACTATTATATCTCCAAACTGTTGAATTTTCTTTCTTTTAGTTAAAATTCTTTAGCCATTATATCTTTCAGGCAATAGGGATGAAATTTTAATAAAAAAAGGGAGTTCTAGTTTGCCACAAACTTGTTAGTGATAGAAGTTCTAAAAACTCTCTAATACATTACCATTGGAGAATGAGGCCCCCTTGTTTTCATAATATCTATTTGCCTCTGCTTTTGTTTTCAATTTATTGAGAAGCAAATGGTTTATTGCTTCAGGTGGAGCTCGCAAAACGCCTAACTGCTTGTTCTTTTGCGGATCGCGTCTTTTTCTCAAACAGTGGAACAGAAGCAAATGAAGCTGCCATTAAATTTGCAAGAAAATTCCAAAGGTTTTCGCGTCCTAATGTGCAACAGCCACCAACAGAGTTCATTTCATTTAGTAATAGCTTCCATGGGAGGACCATTGGTGCTCTTGCTTTGACTAGCAAAGAGAATTACAGAACACCTTTCGAACCTCTCATGCCTGGAGTTACTTTCTTAGAGTATGGGAATGTTCAAGCTGCAAAAGAACTGATTCAAAGTGGCAAGATTGCTGCAGTATTTGTGGAACCTATCCAAGGTGAAGGAGGCATACACAGTGCCACCAAGGAGTTCTTACAATCTCTTTCTAGTGTTTGTCATGATGCTGGCTCTCTCCTGGTTTTTGATGAGGTGAGCAGCTATATTTTGATGAGAAGTTGTCAAATGCATGTTGGATTGTGTGTCTTTGAACATTACAAAAATGTTGGACTTAATCTCCTAATTGAAATGTATTAGAATAAAAAAATAAAAATAAATAAAAACTGTCAAGTTATTGCTGCCTTTATACTGATGGAAAGTTTCTTTGAGATAAACAGTGATGGAACTTTCTTGCATCGTCTTTGGCACATTGTAAAGAATTTCTTGGGAAACAAAACATATGGAAAACACAGTTTCTTTGAGGTTGAAGCAGGCATGGAAACCTTTGAAGAAGTATGGATGGCTATAAATAGATTTAAGCGTACTTTACTCAGATCTACTAATTTTTTGTTAAAAGAGGGGTTTTTTCATTCCTCTTTTTGTTGATAGACTTTATTACATTTTTGTAAAGAAGTATAGGATAGTTACACCTTGGGGAGGGAATATAGTTTTGTAATTTTGTTCATACCTTCTTTTTTTCCCACAGGGGTGACACCAATTTAATACAATTCTTACTTAAAAAAAGAGTGATGAGCTTTGTTGCATCATCCTTGTAGAGGATAGTCTTGGGAAACATAACAAGGAGAGAACATGTAGAACTTAATTTCAGTAGTTCATTGGTGACCAACTTTAGGGGTATCTTTTCAAAGCAATATATTAAAGATTCAAGCTAAACATTCAGAGCTATCATCACATTGTATGAATGGGCATTTTGCTCAATTTGAACCGTGTGACATAGAAAATTATGGAGAACCTATCTTTCATAATTTCTAGTGATCAATTGTTCTGTTCATATCTTCTGTTGGTCAATATGCTTGTAGGATAGATGGAAACAGTAGGCATGGCTGACACATGCCTCCCTACCATTCTAGCACATGATGTGGTGATGAAGGATTCTTTTTGAAGGAGAATGGGATTGGAATAGGTTCATAGCTGGTTTTTTCCCTTATATTCTGAGATGATGGTACCATGGATTCTAGAGTTTTACTTATGAGCACATCAGTTTCTTAGGGAGTGTATAATAAGATCACAGTTAGATGTTGGTTTCGATGCTGAAATACTGGGTGAGTAAAATGGCATCTTGATATACGAGTTCTTTTATTGTTGTCATGTAGAGTTTGGTGTTCTAAAGATAATAGATGTCTTGAAGCTAAACAAATAAAATTGAAGTCTTCTAGGGATCCACAGTTTAGTACTTGTGTTCTGGAATGGAAAACTTTCCCTCAAGAACAATAATTTTTTATTTTTTATTTTGAACAACCAAGAACTCTAAATTTGAAACCTGAAATTTTTTGCCAAATTTTCTAGTAGTGTCCCAACACATCAACTATTTTCAAATCTAAAAATGTTAAAAAAATCAGTTTTGTTTTTTTTATCGATCTTCAACCCATTGAACCATTACAAAAAAAAATAAAAATAAAAATATTCAAAAGTTCACTAAAAAATCAATACCAAATTCCCATAACATGTACATGTAATTTTAAGTTGGAATACTGGTGTCACAAATTATTTTTTCATAACACAATTAACAAAGTTTTTTTTTTTTTTTTTTTTTTACAACACAGTTAACAAAATTGTTATATATATATATATATCACTCCAATAAGTTTGTTAAATTATTTGTTAGTGATGTGCTCTTTTTGTAATAACCTAAATAATTTGTTAATTGTAGAGATTATGGTATTAACAAAGTCGAAAGAGAAACGAGAAGAAAGTGATTGAAAGAGATAAGGGCATGATTATTGAGTGATTTTAGAATATTGTTCAATAATATTTATCACTTGATATTTATGAAGTTAATTTTTAAAAAAAATTAACAAAAATGTTAAATTTTATTATTTTAATCAATAAATATTAAGTTAAAATATCATATAAATTTGATTCAAAACTACCAAATAATTTTCCCTGTACTATAGAAAACCCTGCCACACTGCAAATAATTTAACAAACTACTATAAATAATTTAAGAAAGAGGGAAGGGAGGGTCAAAAATATTTTTTTAATCTTGTATGAGAAAATTGTTAAAAATTTTAATTTAAAGAGGGTGTAAGAGATGGTGAATATCAACAAATGGATAAATTTGATAATTTTAAGAATGGTGTGATTTCAAAAGATTGATAGATATGTTGATTTCAAGTTATTATTTGCGACAAATTATGTCATTTTGACTCAAAGATATTAGAGTTTGAGCCTAATGGCTCAAAAAAAACTAAAAAATTGACTTGCGATCTAAGTGCCCTATATACTCTGGGATTTATAATTCAGTAAAAGTTTTAAAAAAAATAATTATAAAATTATGTAAGAAAATTTAATATTTTGATTATTAATATTTATAAAATTTATTATTAATTTAAAATTATTTTTTAAAAATATGATTAATTTTAATATTTTTCTTATTTACAAATTAACCCACATTTTTTTTTATTTTATAATTTAGTTATCTCCCATCCAACTGTCTACTTGAGTCTAAACGAGAATTAATTTCTAAAATAAAAAATATTATAAAAAAACTAATTTCTAAAACTCTTAGTATTAAATTACGAGTTCAATTATAAAAAAATTTAAAAAAAATGTTTAAATTTTTGTGATATTTATTTTCCATTCATCATGCATTTGTACATAAATAAGAGCATTTCTTGTGTTTATTCAAATTTTTTTATCAAATTTAACTAAAAATTTATGTTATGCTCTAATTGTTTCATTAAATCTGATCAATAGTTCGGCCTAAAGCAAATTTTTAGCAAAACTTTCCCAAGCTAGTCATCCATCCGATTGTCCTACTAGTCATGCACTTGGTTGATTGGCCGGTCATCTATTCGATTGTCTTTAAAATTTGATGAAAAGTTAAGGTTGCGTTTGGTAGAGTTTTGTAAATATGATTTGAGAGTATGAGTTTTATTTTGAGTTTGTAGGTTGTGGAATTATGATTCGAATGTAGAAAATTTGTTTGGTTATAGTTTTTGAAGAGTATTGAATTGAGTTTTGAAAGTTTGATTTGACATGTGAAATAAGAAAATTTGTTTGGTTATGAGTTTTGGAAAGAATTTTCAAAACTTAATTCAAATTGTATAACACATAACAAAACACACTACTTTCACACTATTGAAAATTCTAATCAACACTCATAACCAAACTCTTTTTAAAATTCAATTAAAAAAATTTATTATTAACAGAAAATAACATTAAACAATTTTTTAATTGAAAATACTACAAAGGAAATATTTTTTTTCAAAATAAATATTCAAAAAATTTAAATCATAAATATTTAAATAATTTAAATAATCTAAAAAAATCAATAAGTAAAAAATTAAAATAAATATTCAAAAAATTTAAATGTAAAAAATTAAATAATTTAAATATTCAAAAATTTAAATAATTTAAAATGTTAATATTAAATTTAAAACAACTCTAACTCAAATCGTAACCAAACACATAAAACAACACCAAGTAAGAAATTATTTTTAAAACTCATAACCAAATACATTACTCGAAATTTCATGCTACTTTCACAACTCTACACTCAAATCGTAACCAAATATCTAACAAAAAAATTAAAATATTTAAAATATTTTTATAAAATAGAGTTTGAATTTATTTTTATAAATATTTTAAATTTAAAAAATTAAAATCGTAATATTTTGAAATTAAAATATTTAAAAATATTCAAAAAAATTAAAAAAATCGTAACATATTTAAATATTTAAATATTTAAAATCTTAACAAAATTAAATATTTTTAAAATATTTAAATATTTAAAATAATAAAATATTGATTTGATATTGAGTTTTGAAAAGAATTTTGAATTATGTGTTTAGTTATGAATTTTGAAAAGTAATGATTATGTTTTGAATTGAGTTTTGAGATATAGGTGTAGAATTACGATTTGAAAATTCAAAACAAACAATGTACTCAAATCTGTGGGTGGAACTATAATTTGAAATCCTAACCAAACGGAGCCTAAATGTTCTACTGATTGGATAACAAATCAGACTTTACTTTCATTTAATATGAGTTTAATGTCATGTTCAAAACAGAAAAAATAAATATATTTTATCAAATTTAAATTTAATAAAACATATGTGAGTAAGCGTCGCAAACCCTCTGATAACAATGGTTGAGAGAAAACCCTATAATAATAAACCTAATAAAAGAGTGTGAGGAGGATCTTTATGGCATTATTCAAACGTTTGTAACGATTCTCTTTAAATTTAAAATATTGATAATTTCTCATAATTATTTTATAACTCTTAACTGATGTAATTAACATCCTCCATTATAACCATGGAATGGAAAGAATCAATGCAAAATTTTGAATTCGCCCAAGTGATACATACAGTCGTAAATCAAAGGATATATTATTATTAAAGAATTGAATTTCTTTGGATCTAGTTATTATTTTTGTGTTGACGAAAACAATTATTAGGAATGCTATATATTATTATTATTATTATTATTATTAGTATTATTATTATTATTATTATTTGTTGGACAATTTTCATTGTATTTGAAAAATAAATTATGTTTGTGTACTTAACAACAAACAGAGTACAGAAGAAATAAAAAAAAATGAGAGAATTTGTTTGATTACAAAAATCAAACCAGAAAAATAAAATAAAATAAAATAAAAAAAAAATTATTTTGTTACAAAAACAAAATCAAGATCTGATTTACATACATAATAAACCAAAAAATAAACTAACAACTTACTTGATTAATTTCTTGAACAAACTTTTGATCAAGTCCAGTGTTTAACACTATGTCCTTAAAACAGATTCGTCTTCTCTACGGTGCTTTCAGATTTTCGGACGTCTATCTCCCAGGATAAAATGATCAACAACGAATAAATGCAATACTACAATTTATTCGCACAACGAACACACTTTGTTTTTATCTGACAGATAAAAATTAGACCAAAGTTTAGGAAAAAATCCTTTTTTTTTTTCTTTTCCAAAACCCATTTCTAACAATCCCCTACATAAATGGAATTTGATGACAACGGAAATGCAACAAAATGCAGAATTTGTAGAAAGAGTATAAATCGAAAATATCTTGCATCAAGATAGGTAGCTTTCGGTCTTGAACCTTCCCTAGTAATAACCTATCGGACTTACTAG